ACATTTAAGTCTCTTTGCACACAAATTCTGTGAAAAAATATATTGCATCAAAACCATTGCTTTAATGTTTTTGTAGTTAGCTAATAATATACCGCATGATTTTCTATATTCAAATTGCTAAAAAAAATATTATTTTTTATATGTAATTTAAAGTGATTCCCAAGGCACAATTTGTTTTTTCTTTTTTTAATAACAAACTTGTAATACTTAAGTGCTCTGTGCAATGGTTTTGTATATTCTAGCCCAAATCCTCCTTCTTGGGTCTCCCACCAGTGCTCCTGGCCCCTGGTCCCTGTTCCCTGCCAAGTGCTCCGCTTGCCATGGGGGCACTCGTTCATACTTGCTCCTGAGCCGGTGTGTCTATTTATACAAAGAGTGCGGCTTGGCCCTGCCCACCTCTGACTTTTGCCTTTGCACCGGAATTTTACTTTAGCTTAGTGAATGTGGGGAAAACTCCCTTTGCAAACAATGCTCAGTCATGTGGAAAGAAAAAACGGGATTTTTGCTTGTACATGTTTGGATGATGGAAGTCAGCAGAGTTTCACCTCATTTACTACACTAATACAGGGTACATGCTATACTTTAAAAAAACTGACAGATTGCTGTACTAACACAAGCAATGTTAGTGCGGCGATATCACCCACCATGCTCTTGTGTTCTGAGAGGGGGACTGCAAGTGTGTACCAGCCTTAAGGCTGGTTATGAATATTTTTCATTCAACCAGTTCATACCATTGTGGATGGGTAATCCCTCCCACTGTGGTATTGTATTCTGACAACGGAGAGCCTTTCCTGTTCTTCCATCATAATACAATGATCAGTGTTGCCCACTATAGCTGGTGGCACTGATCATTCGGGAACAATCTAACAGACTGGTTGTACTCAAGTCGATCAAAAAGATTCACTTATGTACAACCGGCCTGCCCATACATGGATCAAAATTCGGTTGGTTCTTGCTGAATCGGTCAAATTTCAATCCATGTATGACTGACTTAAGGGAAAATTCCCCTGCAAAGTGAACAGTTCATTTGCTTTAGTAGGTCACACCAATAGCACACATTATCCCACTGAAAATATCAAGCAGAGTGGTCATACTGGTAACTGCCCCTGCTGTAACATTGCTTGTTTAGTGAAAAATACCCTTAAAGCAGACCTTGAACATAAGATGCAGGCCTGCTTTTAAATGTGTCCACCTTGCAGAGTAACACTGAAATTAAAAAAATTAGACAATATACTCCCGACTTCTGGCCGTGGTGCCTAGGCAAAGGTTGACATAATCCCCTTTCCAGCATGAGTGTGGGGAAAGCTGAGCAGCCTAAGTCCCTCTCTTGGAGTGCTCATTATTCCCCAGGATCTCGCCAGCAGAAGCATGTCATTACCCCCTGCACTACAGCAATCAAAGGAAAGGCGAGTGTAATATCTAACTTTTTTCCAGTTACATACATTTTTTTTTTACACTTGTACTCAGTGTTTCAGCACAGGGCAGGGAGGACATATTTTAAAACATGGACCTTACACGTGTCAACTCTTTTAAATAAGTTACTAAATTAGAGGATTTAATTCACAATGACACAATGCTAAATCAAAATGTGCATCCAGCCATAGATATATATAGATATTTGTAGCACAACAGGGTTTTGAAAAAAACGGATGTGATTTTTTGGCAATAAGGGAACCACATATGAGCCTTAGATATTGTTTGTTTTACTATTTAGACAAGTCACATTCTGTTAGGCATTAGTAATATTAGGACTAAAACTCCCAAAACAAAATACAATATTAACAGTGCAAACTAATAGAAGGCATTTACTGAAGGATAAATGTATAAACTGTGTAAATGTGTAAACCAACCTTAAATTAAAAAAAAAAGTCCAGTCAAAGACTTTGAGCCTTAAAAAAGGGTTAAATAAATAGTTAGACTGGAAAGAAAATTATTTAAGTTAATTGACAAAAATAGATCAATACTATAAATATAGAGTTTAATACTCCTAAAGTGACTGTGATGAGCAAAGTATGGTGCTGCCATTGCTGGCCTCTCCTTTGAGAATGTTAGTTACCTGGCTGTCATGCTGATGCTTTGACTTCATTGCTTTCTCAGCCTCTGATCTAGAGCACATAAAGACATATTTGTTGCTCTTGCAGATTTTCCCTCCCTTTCTATCAGATGAAATTGTTGTCACCGTAACAATAAGTGAGGGGAAATCTCTCTGAGAGCTCATTTGCACTTGCAATTGATAGTTGACAGTTGAACCTCATTGTTAGCCCCTCCTACACTAGTATGTATGAAAAAAACACAAACATACACACATGCTCAAAGCATTTGCATAGGCAGCAAAAAATATTCTCCCTGTAGCATTTGGCAGGCAGTACAGGCAACAAACATGACCCACTCAATTTCCACATTGGATCACTTTTCAGAGGGGCACCAAGGGCTGCTGCTGTTGTAAACTGAGGGAGTCGTGGATAGCGGTATAAAGCTGTACGGTATTTTAATCCTTTCTCACTAAAAACTAAAAGGATAAAAAGTTTTGGCTGGAGTTTATATTAAACCTTTGACCTTAAAACTTACGCTGATCATACATGGATCAAAAAAAAAAAATGGAACAGATTCCCCGATCCACATAAGTGTGGTGAATAGAGGAATCATCTCCACTGTGTCATTTTATTCTGACAGCAGGGATTCTCCTGCTGTCAGAATACACTGATCAGTGCTGCAGTGCTAATTGAACAAAATGTTTCCAACAAGCCAGTTTGTGAGCAGTTTATCATTAGATCAACTTCTCACAAATAGGAATGGTCATAGATAGATCGAAATTTGGCCCATCCCTGTTGAACTGATCGAATTTCAGTTTTTATTGCCAACTTTAGAGTTCATTAACCTGTAAGCACACTTAACCTAGTGAGCCCAACAACTAAACTATCATATGAAACTACTAAGCCAATACTCAACTTATTGAGCTGATACTTTTATGCTGATTTTGACCAGCCTTGGTTGCGAATGGCACCAGTTATTTTATTATGCCTGAGGAAGAGATATAAAGTCCCAAAAGCTAGTGTATTTCTACCTTTTAACAAGATAAGGTAAGTGAGCACAATCTCAAGCGAGCAGCTAGCATACAAGGCAATCCTCAGCACCTAAAATAGTAATATCGATAAAAGGTATGCAGCGCTATATAAGGTATTGCAATAAATAAATGGTACAACAATCATCTGTATAACCCAGAATCAGTATAAATTGATTCATAGTGAAAGATCCATATGAACCGTCAATCAAACGTGAACAGTCTTAAATGTGATGTAAATGGTAAGGAAGAAAAAGTGACAATAACACAATAGTGTTTGGTGTATTCCAGATCCAGTTGGGCTTGTGGAAGAATCCAGTAAAATTATGCGCTTACCACAAAGACATACAGACTGAGCGTTGTATGTATATCAGCGGATATCAGGTCCTGGTCAGCAAATAGAGCAGCATTTGGTCACCATGGAAGACACTCGGGGATGATTGGATACACACACGGGGGTCACCTCAGGTTTCACCGGCAGGTCCACCGGAGTCCACTCCTGATAATACTCCTCCAAAAAGCTCCACCTTGACGGGGCTCGTAAATAACGAGTCAGGGGGCAAAATGGTGATGATAGTGAAGTACGTCTTTAATAGGTGTAAAGCAAATTGAACATATATTGAACTCACATCAAAAACATTGAATAGCCTCCAGGCCTAATATCTAGGCTCCCTGGTGGCTAATGGCTCCCTGGTGGTTAATGGCGTCAGTTGGGCGGATCCCCTAACATGTTTCGAGCCACGCTCGTTGTCAAAGGCGTTTGACCCCGTCAAGGTGGAGCTTTTTGGAGGAGTATTATCAGGAGTGGACTCCGGTGGACCTGCTGGTGAAACCTGAGGTGACCCCCCGTTTGTGTATCCAATCATCCCCAAGTGTCTACCATGGTGACCGTATGCTGCTCTATTTGCTGACCAGGCCCTGATGTCCGCTGATATACATACAACTCTCAGTCTGTATGTCTTTGTGGTAAGCGCATAATTTTACTGGATTCTTCTACAAGCCCAACTGGATCTGGAATACACCAAACACTATTGTGTTATTGTCACTTTTACTTACTTACCATTTACATCACATTTAAGACTGTTCACGTTTGACGGTTCATATGGATCTTTCTCTATGAATCAATTTATGCTGATTCTGGGTTATACAGATGATTCTTGTACCATTTATTTATTGCAATACCTTATATAGCGCTGCATAACTTTTATCAATATTTCTACCTTTTATTTACTAAATTAAGCTATAACCTCTCTGCAATGAATAGTGGCTAATATAGCCACTCTACTACTGCCTTAAATTAGTTAATGATGGCATGTTATACCTTCCTGTATCCTTATATATATTAAATAATGTAGATTTTTTTTTTAACACAAATGTAGGTTTTTACACAATTGTTCAATACAAAAACATTGGCTATGCAGGTGGGGTGGGGTGGGGGGTCGGTTTCTACACTAGTGTGTAGGAAAAAACACAAAAATTCACACATGCTCCAAGCATTTGTTTATTGTGACCCATGCCGCCATACTTACCTTTGTATTGATTCAATAGAACAATGTGGGAATGATCAAATACTGCCAGCCTGGTCAATTGACTTCTGCAGTGACCCGAGATAACCTGTTGTCCATACTGGACAGACATCTTGGCCCTTATTTAGGTTGCAACTGAGGCATGCCTAAGGACGCTCTCATTGAATATCATCATATGCCACAATGCTTTTCGATTGTGTATCATACCCTAAATGGCATTGCAGCCTCATGAATCAGGACCTCCGATTATTACAGGAACAACAGATAGATAGTTATCTTAATATAATGCTTGTAGCAGTTTGTGGACTGCATAGGATGCTTATAAAAACTTTGATTATATATAAATGTTACATTTTATGTAAAACAGTGTGTTAATTTCTTTTAGGTTATTTGCGGCAAAATGTAGTGGGTGCATGGAGAAGATTGCTCCGACAGAATTTGTAATGCGTGCCCTGGAATGTGTATATCACCTAAGCTGCTTCTGCTGCTGTGTATGTGAGCGACAACTACGAAAAGGAGACGAATTTGTATTGAAGGAAGGACAACTTTTATGTAAAAGTGACTATGAAAAAGAGAAGGACCTTCTAAGCTCTGGAAGTCCAGATGACTCAGATTCTGGTACGTTCTCAATAAATTTGAAATGTTCTACAGTGAAGAACTACAAAAATAAATTAAAATATAACTATGGACTATATACAAAATTGTTCATAAGTGCTATTTTTTTGTCCATATGAGTGTTGACGAGTGTAGGGATTTTGTCGACATTTCACCAAAATTAATCTTCAATTTCATCGTATGTCACTGCTTAAGAAAATTTGCTGGAAAGAAACAATCCACCAATGTCCCTTCAGAAATCCTTCCTATGTTGGTTTCAAATTTGCAAGCAACAAATGGGCAATTGTTACAATGCACAGGCAACAAAAAGGCAATTGTTACAATATCTAACTTTATGTCCCCAGGGGTAATTTTTTAGTGAAAGAACATGTCCAGGATAAGTTAAAAGAGCATCCCTAACCCCAGGAGCCATTTAAAAGCACCTTTAAATACCACCATAACATCTTAAAAGCCCTCTTTATTGACTTTAATTCATTTAGTTAAAATAGTGAAATTGTAACAAATAAAAAATCTTGGCGAAGCCCCCTATTTCACTCATCACTAAAGTACATACACTTGCAAATTACAACCAATAGATGATATCATTAGCAGCCTAACACCATTGTCAATGGACTTACATGTATCCAGCTTTTGCAGAAGTTTTTTTTTGTATAAATGTAAAGGTCATATCTCAAATCTATTGCTGGGTTTTTCAACCAGCTTTCTATAGGTCCACAGAGATTTCTTTCTTTCTTTGTTACCATGGTGAATTTAAATTGACCTAGTGGATCTTTCAGTGTTCTGTGGCTGACTACTCTTATAGTGGATTAATATTCACTGATTTTAGTATTCTGGCACCTAACATTAGTAGGGTTTGTAAGTTTGGGTCGAAAGTGAGTTCACCCAAACACAGCCTGTGCGCAGTTCAGAGAATGGTCCATAAAACTGTCCATTTGCAATCATGCTAGACCCTTATCTAGGTATGCAGACTGGGGTGCCTGGAAAGGGAGGCCAGAAGGAGAGTATCCCCCACATGCCATTCAACAGCTTGCAAAGGGCAGGTAGTAAAACCTTCCTTCCCAACCCTGTCAGGGCACCTTGGGCTTGATTTAATTAAACTGAAGAGTGCAAAATCTGGTGCAAACGTGCATTGTAGGCAATCAGCTTCTAACTTCAACTTATTCAATTAAGTTTTGACAAAAAAACTACAAGCTGATTGGTTTTTATTCAAAGCTGTACCAGATGTTGCTAGATTTTCCAGTTTTAGTAAATCCCCCCCCTTGCATCTCTTTTGAGAGGACAAGGGCGTCATCCCCTCATTTGATCTCCAAATTAAAGAATGTGTGGGGAGGAGGGGGATTTACCAGAATCTTGACCATATTTGGTCAATGATTTCACCAAGGATCCCTGGCCAGCTAGTGCTTGTAGTAAAAATACTAATTCCCACCAATTGTTTTACAAATCTTTTAAAAGGGTTATAATGTACTCCTCTGTAAATTCATGTGTAGATTTGAGACATCCTCAAGCAGGGGCGGACTGACCATTTGGAAACTGCCCGAGGGCCCGGGGTCAGTAGGGGGCCCCATGAGATGCCCCTGGTACCTTTTTCATAGGCTTTTTTGAGTTTGGGCAAGGACACAGGGGCCCCATGATCCCCTATTGCCCGGGGGCCCATGAGTTGTCAGTCCGCCCCTGTCCTCAAGCATGCTATTCAAAGGAATGTTTTATGCTTAACATTGCCATTTTAGCCACATTACAAAAACATCATCACATTTGCCTTCCATTGTTTTTAATGGAGTTCGGGGCTATGTTCAGGGTTCACAAACTCTGGTGAACATCCAGTGAACTGAACTTCACACAGTTCATTTAAATCTAGTCACTAGTGACGGGCTGCAGCATGGAATGAGTGGTGTAGCTGTGGAGTACAGTGAGCGATTAGCCAAGCAACATGCGATGGGACATTATTGCCACTGAACACCAATATAGGATATTTCCACCAATGAACAGCAACCCAGATTATATTTACCACTAAACACCAATGCAAATGCATTTTTGCCATTATGTATGCCAATTTTTTTTTTTCACTGAATGCCAAAGAATGTTTGCATCTAAATATATTTTTACCATTAAAAACCAATGCAAACTATTGTTGCCACTGAATGTCAGTGCAAATATATTGTATTGAGTATATTGCATCATTGAAAATCAGGAGTATTGCCAGGTGCATTAAATGCTATATTTTCTGCAGTTAGGTAAGCACCCTTATGATCTTTTCAAATAATATTTTGGCCTTTTAAAGCTCAAAAGTCACCAAGTATTACTTATTAATATTGGTAGAGTGGAAAGGCATTGGAATTAGAATTTTAGTAAGTTTTCATACCTATATACAGGTGAAACTCGAAAAATTAGAATATCGTGCAAAAGTTCATTTATTTCAGTAATGCAACTTAAAAGTTGAAACTAATATATGAGATAGACTCATTACATGCAAAGCAAGATAGTTCAAGCCGTGATTTGTCATACGTGTGATGATTATGGCTTACAGCTCATGAAAACCCCAAATCCACAATCTCAGAAAATTAGAATATTACATGCAATCAATAAAACAAGGATTGTTCATAGAACAATATCAGACCTCTGAAAAGTATAAGCATGCATATGTACTCAGTACTTGGTTTGGGCCCCTTTTGCAGCAATTACTGCCTCAATGTGGCGTGGCATGGAAGCTATCAGCCTGTGGCACTGCTGGGGTGTTATGGAAGACCAGGATGCTTCAATAGTGGCCTTCAGCTCTTCTGCATTGTTCGGTCTCATGTCTCTCATCTTTCTCTTGGCAATGCCCCATAGATTATCTATGGGGGTTCAGGTCAGGCGAGTTTGCTGGCCAATCAAGCACAGTAATCCCACGGTCATTGAACCAGGTTTTGGTGCTTTTTGGCAGTGTGGGCAGGTGCCAAGTCCTGCTGGAAAATGAAGTCAGCATCCCATAAAGCTTGTCTGCGGAAGGAAAGCATGAAGTGCTCTAAAATCTCCTGGTAGATGGCTGCGTTGACTCTGGACTTAATGAAGCACAGTGGACCAACACCAGCAGATAACATGGTTCCCCAAATCAACACAGACTGTGGAAACTTCACACTGGACTTCAAGCATCTTGCAGTGTGTGCCTCTCCATTCTTCCGCCATACTTTGGGTCATTGGTTTTCAAATGAGATGCAAAAGTTGCTCTCATCAGAAAAGAGGACTTTGGACCACTGAGCAACAGACCAGGTCTGTTTTTCTTTAGCCCAGGTAAGACGCTTCTGACGTTGTTTGTTGTTCAGGAGCGGCTTGACAAGAGGAATATGACATTTGAAGCCCATGTCCAGGATCCATCTGTGTGTGGTGTCTCTTGATGCACTGACTCCAGCCTCAGTCCACTCCTTGTGAAAGTCCATAACACTTTTGAATGGCCTTTTCCTGACAATCCTCTCCAGGCTGCGGTCATCCCTGCTGCTTGTGCACCTTTTTCTTCCACACTTTTCCCTTCCACATAACTTTCTATTAATGTGCGTTGATACAGCACTTTGGGAACATCCAACTAATTTTGCAATTACCTTTTGAGGCTTTCCCTCCTTATGGAGGGTGTCAATGATGGTTTTCTGCATAACTGTCAGGTCAGCAGTCTTTCCCATGATTGTGATTCCTACTGAACCAGACTGAGAGACCATTTAAAGGCTCAGGAACCCTTTGCGGGTGTATGGCTTAATTAGCTGATTAGAGTGGGACACTTTGAGCCTAGAATATTGCACCTTTTCATATTCTAATTTTCTGAGATTGTGGATTTGGGGTTTTCATGAGCTGTAAGCCATAACCATCACAATTATGACAAATCACGGCTTGAACTATCTTACTTTGCATGTAATGAGTCTATCTCATATATTAGTTTCTCCTTTTAAGTTGCATTACTGAAATAAATAAACTTTTGCATGATATTCAAATTTTTCGAGTTTCACCTGTATGTACCCATCTAAGAGATTTCCCCTCACTTCATGTTCTACCGAACTACTTTTACCTGGACAGGAAGAAAGGAAAATTGTGAGCAATGGAAACACACATTGAAAAAAAAACCTGATAGAGGATAGAGGTTGTGTTTTGTGAATGGCCAAGTTGAGATGAAGGTTGGGACACGGTGACACAGTGCTGGTGTCTAGGAGTTTGTCTAGGAGGAGTCTGAGGATTTCTAGAAATACAGCAGGAGCTGTACTATCTGGCAGAAAATAAAAAAGTGTTTTAATAGCATTATGAACACATCAGAAAGTCAATTACAACCCTAAAGAGGTAAAAAAAAATAACAAAAAGCTCAAAAATAAAAAAATGTTGGTGTCCAGAGCTGGGATTAAAATAATCAAAATGTAGTTTATTTTCAAGGTGCAGCAAAAAGGTTTCTCTTCGCAAAGTGAATGTTCACTTAAAGAATAAGGTACAAAAAAATGAATTAAAAAAGGGGGCACATACAGACAAAAACGCTGTTTTTTTAAACTTCCTCTGCATGTGATGAAATATTCAGATGAACGCAGCTTCACAATTTTAATTAAGTTAACATACACTTCTAACCCAGTCTGAGCAGCTAAATAGGTATTTAAAAACTGATGTTGTCTTGTAATTTTACTGGTCCATTTGTGCATTTTAAATTCGTTTTGCAACTTACACTTGTCATTTTCTGTACATACTCTATCCCCTTTGAGCAAGCTATATGTGTCTGATTGATATATATCTGTATCCTCTTGTTCTCAGTGTGTGATTTTATATCTCTGCAGGTTCTTATAACTCTAGCATTTTATTTTATAGCTAGCAGCATTACAATATTGCTGTGCAGGTCATTATATCACTGCATGTTATTACGTTACTGTTCAGGTTATTTTATGGCTTTGCCATATTTTTTTTTACAGAAAACACTGCTAGTTGAGAACATAAGAGCCTGTCTCTATGATATATATACCTTTGCAAACTGAAACCGCAAGCTCTCTAAGGGCTCGTTCATACGGATGACTCAAAATTGCATACTAAGTGTAGGTGAAGCTCTTTTTGCCATATTTTCAGTTTTTGCCACAATCAACTTTATAAAGGCTTAATGTCCCATCTTTTTTTTCTGAGTCATACTATCAGGATGTGCCATATTTTTAAAAATTGTTACAATATTTTTTATACTATGTTGCAATATTAAAAAAAAAAACCTATATATTTATTTATATTTATTTAAAGACAACTATAAAATATGCATGTTGTGCCTCTTGTACTTAATAACTTTGGCTTACTACAGCATACTATTAAAATGCAAATTTAGCTACAATAATTCAAAAGTTTTTTTAAAGATGTTAATGATCAAAAACCTACTCAGCTCAGAAGCTTCAGACCTCATCAGTGTGCCCCTGCTCTCTTATTGCCCAATCAGCAGACTGGGTGTGTGTTTTTTTTATCAAACTGTGCTGCTGCTTCAATGGAGGTCAAAGGCCTACTTTTTGTGCTTTCTAGCAGGAGTACCTGTATCACAAAATGGTGTAAACGGAATGTGAAAACTGTAGCAGGCAAATAGCTCCCCTATTGGAATTTCTAACTTCGAAAAACACCAAAACCAATTGATATTTTGCCTTTTACAAGTGTCTAAAGCCACACAGGTTCTCATTCCTTGTTTTTTCGTTATTATAGTGAAAAGTGATGATGATGATGGTGATGTGAAGCCGGGAAAGTGTCACGGAAACCAAGGAAAGGGTAGCGATGATGGTAAAGACCCAAGGAGGCCGAAGCGACCACGCACAATCCTCACAACGCAGCAGAGAAGGGCCTTTAAAGCGTCTTTTGAAGTGTCTTCAAAGCCCTGCAGAAAGGTGGGTATCTTTGTATGGGTACACTACAAAGCCTTGCAGAAAAGTGGGTATCTTTGTATGGGTACAATTGAGGCAATTTACTACAGACATGAAGTTAAGTACTGTCTGTGATCCTTTTTTTATTTGCACTAACAGGTAAAGTTTCAGAACAAGTTCTTTGTGTATACCCATTTCTAACAAGCAGATTAAAGCAGTACAGCTACACAAGGCTATAATCAACTTAAAGGATAAGTTCACATTTACACCTTTGCAGGTAAAAAAAAATGTGCATTTATTATTTTTTGTGTTAGGAGCCGCTAGAGCATTGCACCAGTGATCAGCGGATCTCTGATGCCATGCAGGTCTCCTGAAGACTGCCAATGTATCTGCTTGCTCATACACCCCGTACGAGTAAGACAAGAATGATCCTTCTGACAGGAAGAATCAATGAACTATCACAGTGCTTCACAGCGCCGTTATAGTTCATTGAGAACTTCAAGCTGACAGCCACTAAGGCTGTCGGAACCTGAAGTCCATTCATTCACAGAGGACTGTGAATGAATGACACAGCCATGTGGGTGGAGCCCCACACAGCCACACTGTTTTTGAAAAATGACAGCTAGTACGGGGAACTTCTCCCGTACTCCTGTCACAGGAAGGGGGGGCAGCGTGCGGCGACTGCGGAATCGAGAACATGTTACAAGTTGCACCCTAAAAATTGGTGAAACATTTAACATGTTCTCAACAGTGAACAAACAAAGAACATAGCGCCTCTAAGTGTAAACTGTGTGACAAATTTTAATAAAATTTAAGCTGAACAACTCACATCTTCGAACAGTAAATTAGGCTCATAGGGATGTGTGTGGTACGTCTGTAGCCAGATGTAAAGACTGTTCCAAAGAAGAGGAACCCTGGTCGGTCAGTAGCCACTAGCTCCGGACATATTGGAGACCCAGCCAGGCTTCACCATCCTTGTCTTACTTGCTGCAGCACCTCCTGCTGACTGACCAGGGTTCCTCTTCTCTGGAACAGTCTTTACATCTAGCTACAGACATACCACACACATCCCTATGAGCATAAGTTACTGTTCGAAGATGTGAGTTATTAAGCTTACCTTTTATTAATATTTGTCACACAGTTTACACTCAGAGGCGCTGTGTTCTTTGTTTTTTCTACTCCAGAGTTTGCTTCACTCCATCGCAGCCTGCACTAGTACTTACTAGATTGCCCTTGCCCCCATTGGAACTTATCCATTTATTCAACATATACAGTACATGGGCTGCTACATTATGTGCCTGCTATTCTCTTTTCTCACAGGAGAACATATACTTTAAAGTGGTTGTAAAGTCTCAAGGATTTTTCCTAAAGGGCATGCTCTGCATTAAGGTAAAAAAACCTTCCATGCTCAGCACCCCTCATCCCTTTCTTTAAATTATAGAGCTAGGGCCAAATCTCACTGTGTGTATCGAAAAAACACACACAGATCCAGCTTGGGATCGAGCCTACATGTGTGCCACCATAGGTAGTGGCTTCTTATGGTGGCACACAGAGAAGTGTAGGAGCGCAGAGCACAGACGGGGGACCCCAGAAGAGGAGGATTGGGGTTGATCTGTGCAAAACCATGAGCAGGTAAGTATAACATGTTTGTATAAAACAAAAAAAAACCCAAACATTCGCAATCACTTTAAGCTAAAGACACAAAATAAACCATGTTAATGCAGGGTCAGTCCTGTCCTCAAGAAATTAGTATAGACTAGGTAAGAACAAATTTTTAGAGAAAATATTTGCATCAAATGGTTTATGGCGTTACCTTTAGAAAAATGCTAAGTTAAAGCTGAGTAACTGCTCACCTTTTTTAAAAAAAAAGGATATTTACCTGTCCAGGGATCCAGCGCTGCCCTCAGTGGTCTTCGGGTCCTCAGTGCCAGCATATTTAGTGTGGAAAGCTGGCTGTGACTCCTTGTGGCTTCACAACTGGCTTCCCACTGCGTATGCTTGTGAATGGTCCCAAAGCCTGTTGGGATCTGTGAGGTGTCCCAGAAGTCTGGAGAAAGAGAGGGGGGTGCAGAACGTCCAGTGAAATCACCTAGGCAATCTCTCCAGTAGTGGGAGCGGGTTCCTACCAAAAAAAGTTCCAAAAAAAAGAAGAGGAGGCGGGAGGAGGACAAAAAGCAGAACTTTCTATTCAGGGTGAAATTTCACTTGAAGTAAAATCTCGCCATCAGCATGCATGCCTGGATTCATAGAAAATAGTGGAATAGTAGGTGAACTTGTCAGGAAGTTGGATAATCTGGGGGGGTGAACAAAAATAATTTTTCTGGGAAAATCTGACAACACCAATACATTATTCATATAACACATGCCTTTATGAATGAGTAACAATCTACTGTTCTTTATCAGGTCAGAGAGACGTTGGCAGCGGAAACAGGCCTTAGTGTACGAGTTGTCCAAGTATGGTTCCAGAACCAAAGAGCAAAGGTACTTCACATACTTTTCTACTTTGTTAAACGCAGTCAGGGTATATCTTGGTACTGTTTATGTACAGTTAGAGAATTATGTCTGTCAATACATGTCATAGTCACTTAAGCCATTCAGAGTCACTTAACAGTCCACCATTTTATTCAACAGATGAAGAAATTAGCACGAAGGCATCAACAACAACAAGAACAACAAAATTCTCAGAGACTTGGTCAAGGTAGCTAAACTGTTACTATTTATATCACAGTACATTACAATGTAATTAAAAAAACAAGCTATTAATTTTACAAATGCCTCAATTGCATCACTCCTATTTAATTTTAGTTCACTATATTGCTGTTCTATTTAAAATATACCTGCATCCTATGTATACCAGCCTAACATTTTGTTCACCATATTACTACTAACCAGGAAATCTATCAGTTCACTAGAGTCCAGTAACATCCTTCAGTCAAAATACTTAAAGAGGTTTTCCATTTTATTTGCTTTTGTGCTTTTGTGTGTAAACAGCTTTCAGACATTAAGGGTTTAATTTATAGAGAGTTTACATGGGCATTTGCATTTGAAAGTGCACATACATTAATTCATGAGGCAAAAGCCAAATATAAATAGCTTACATCCAGTGAGGTTTGAATGTAAAGCATTGATATTAAACAGAAAATACTGAATTTATACACTAGATGTAGCTAAAGATTATAGAAAATTCCTATAATCCTTAACTCCATCTAGTGGCCAAATGTGGCATTTTCATTTAATATCAATGGTTTAATGGTTTATATTCGAATAACATAGAAAAGAACCTCATTTTTTTTTTGCCCAAAAGCAATATGGCTATGTACATTGTTTTTTTATAAACCAATGCCTAATTCTCCCATTGCTATTTTCTCTTGTTTTAAAGTCAGACTTTCCCAAACTTTTTAATAAAAGCCCTTTGCCACACTATATAATATTCTGCTCCAGCCAATCCTTATAATTTAATGCAGTATGTTTTCATATTATATATATATATATATATATTGGCTCGTAGATCTACATTTTTCATGCTACCTTTATCCCACTTTTCATATACTTTTATTTGATAAACCCTAACACAGTTTTAAAAAGCGGGTGATACACTGGGCAAAAGTCTCAACTAACCTTAAACATATATAGTTGACAAGCATAACAAGGCAACTGAGTTCATTTATGAAACCTGGGACAAATCAAAATCAGCCTTAATCAAGCATTTAACTAAATTAATCTTGAATTCTCTCTTGTGCTACATTTGAGGGAAATGGATGTTGAGTCGAGTGACAATAGCTCTGTTTTTTTGCTCAATCCTTAACTCATTTCAGCTCAGGGGTTTAAAAAAATCTAACAAACCCAAGTTGAAATATTTGAATTTTCATGCATGAGCATGTAATATAGACTCTGAACATCAGTACCGAATCATAATTAATATAGAGAATATGCCTACTGCAAACATGTGTATCCATTGAGAGCTAACTTGACAACTTAAACTGAAGTTGCTGCAGTTTTATAATTAGCTGAAAATGCTATGGTAATGGCCATTAACCATGAGCAGATTGGAGAAAACCACCTTGTGTCAAGATGCTTGCACTCTTCACATTGCTAGTGGTATGTTAAGATCACTTTAACAATTCACAATATTTTATTAAATGTGACTGCAGAGGTTTAGTTTTTTATGTATCCTGCAAAAAGTGATGACTTTTTTTCTATTATGTTATACAGTACCAAATATGTAGAAAATATCTTTAAAAAGTCATAGAGAATCTTATCTAATCTCTCAGTTTTTGCAAGCATTATCAGAATTATCTATAAAATAATCTAGTTGTTTCTTTTTAAATAAAAAAAAATACAATTTAGCGTTGGAAGTCATTTATAATTTTCATATGGTCTCCCCTGCTCCAAGCTGAATAAAAAACTTAACATGGACATTTTTTAAACAAATTTTAGATTTACTTCTGTCTATATCCTTTAAATTCTGTTAATGAGCTAACAGGTGTCTTAGCTTTCACAGGTGTTGTAGTTGCAAGAAGATAGGGTTTGCATACATTACCTTAGAACTCAATTGATCCTGGACTTAAATATATTTGTAACTTTGACCAGTTTAATGAAAAAAAAACATCAAATGTAAAATGTTTCTTGTATGTAGTTTGAAAATATGGTTCACAAGGAAGCATTCATATTTGCTTATGGCATAAGTAGGCTGCACACAAGACCTGAGCTTCTTTCTTTCCAAGTCTCTGGGTCAGGTCTGACCTAATTAAAACAATATACCTTCTATTTTGAATTGAATAGGGCTCATCTTAGCAGTCATTAAGCAGGAAAAGATAACTGCATTCTATGATATACAGATGATATTTAGAGGGAGCACTTACAAGAGATGATATAGAAATATAAAATGCAACAAGTTAGACATATGCAGATTATCAAGTATCCCTAAATTAGTGCATAAATGAAATTTAGTTAGATTATGGTATTTGGAGCAGGTTGTCACAATTTTTGTTAAAATTGTTGTTTTCTATAAAAGCACTCAACTTTTCCTTTGCCTGCATGGCTGAACACCACTCTGATCACTGGAACTGTTCCATAAAGTTCACTGAAAAACCAACACTTCTGGGAGTATCCATTTCTTGTGTCTTCTGCTGCTCTTACTGGTTCCTGCCTCTGCAATGTCACTATTAAAAAGAGAGGTAATGTAAGGTCAGAGGTGGAAACCAGTAAGAGCTGCAGGGGATCAAGAAGGTCGACACTACTGGAAGTGTCAATTTCACAGCGAACTTCAGGGTTCCAGCTCTAGTGATTGGAGTGGTGTTCAGCTACACAGACCCAGGAAAAGGTGAGTATTTATTGCCTTCGTTTACAGATAACAGCAGTGTGAATAACAATTTTTCATGACAACAAATTCCCTAATTGCCTTAAGTCTGAACAACCTATAAAAACCTACTATTTCCATTGCAGGGTCCGTTTGCTGTATTAATGTAAGAGCTATCACTAAACGTCTGCCATAACTGAAAACTATAGCACAATTTTCATAAATCTCTCCAATATGTAAAGGTGCTAAAATATCAGCTGAGCGCTACCAAAAATAAAAGTGTCTCACAAGCTTTATCTATCCTACCTTTAAACCTAATAGAGACCCCTTGTACTGCCTGATTTCTCACTTAAATCCTACTAAATCTTTAAACTGGTCTCTCTGCAAAATTCTAAGCTATATAGAAATCCTATCTAGCCTACTAAACTTCCATCAAAAACAAATTCTCTGTTACACCACACTGCTGTCCATAATTTCTCTGTAATAACCAGTAATGTATCTAGCTTTGAGGCTGTGTCTAAAATTGCCTTTTCAATTGTGAACCAAATTTAACATACAGTTTCACAAATCTATCTACATATCCTTAACCTCTCTATTAAGCCTGTAACAGCAGTTTCTATTTCCATCCTGTCAAAGATTGAAAATTAACCCTGCTGTTAGTAGCATGTTTGATAATGTAAAGCAGAACAGTGAAAAAAATAAGTTTATGTGCATATTATGTATTAACTAATCCATTCTTTTTGGCCTATATAGACAATTAAAGTGAACATATCTTAATGACAAAAATGTAAACACAAGTCTGTCTATGGAATGTAGCTACTAATATGAAATGCTCTCTACATCTTTCTCAGTGCACAAAGGAATAGAATGCATTTTGTTGACAAGGTTCTAAATATACTGCTCAAAAAAAAATTAAAGGAACACTTTGAAAACACATCTCAATGGGGAAAAATATCATGCCCAATATCTATACTGATATGGACTGGGTAATGTGTTAGGAATGTAAGGATGCCCCATTCTTTGATGGAAATGAAAATGATCAACCTACAGAGGACTGAATTCAAAGACACTTTGAAAAATAAAAGTGAAAATATGATGCTACAGGCTATTCCATTTTACTGAAATTTCATTGCAGCAACTCAAAATTATTATATTATTATTATTATACAGGATTTATATAGCTCCAGCAGTTTGCTCAGCGCTGTACATTATAATGGGATACAGTAAACGAGACAGTACAGTAACAATATGATACAATACACGAGGGGTTCGAGGGCCCTGCTCCTTGGAGCTTACAATCTAGGTGGGAGGGGATAGTGGTACAGGAGGAAATAGCTGTGGGGGATGGAGTGGTAGGAAGAGTGGTGGAGTTCAGTAATTAGCTGAGGGCGGGGTAAGCTTTTCTGAAGAGATAGGTTTTCAGAGTGCGCCTAAAGGTGAGGAGAGTAGGTGATAGTCTGATGGATTGGGGTAGAGAGTTCCAGAGGACACGGGAAGCCCTGGAGAAGTCCTGGAAATGGGCATGGAAGGAGGAAACCAGGGAACTAGAGAGTAGGAGGTCTTGTGAGGAGCGGAGAGTACATTTTGGGTGGTATTTGGATACCAGATCGGTGATGTAGTTTGGGGCAGTATTATGAACAGCTTTATACGTCAATGTTAGCATTTTGAATTTTATTTGTTGAGCGATCAGAAGCCAGTGGAGAGATTGGCAGAGGGGGGTGGCAGATACGGAATGGTTAGTAAGGTGGATGAGTCTGGCCACCGCATTCAAGATAGACTGAAGCGGAGATAGCCTGCGGTGAGGTAAGCCGATGAGGAGGGAGTTGCAGTAGTCAAGTCGTGATATAATAAGGGAGTGAATGAGTTGCTTAGTGGTTTCCGGGGTTAGGAAAGAACGTATTTTGGAGATGTTGCGGAGGTGAAGTCTACATGAGTTTGTCAGCGATTGGACCTGGGGCTGGAAGGACAGATTGGAGTCTAGGGTGACACCTAGTACCCTGGCTTGAGGGATGGAACTGATGGTGGTGATGTTGGTCTTGATGGAGAAGTCAGGGGGGGGGGGGGGGGCGCGGCTGGGGGGAAGACTAGGAGCTCAGTTTTGGAAATATTTAGTTTGAGGAAGTGGAGTGACATCCAATCCGATATGTCGCTCAGTAGGCTAGTGATATGGGTGGAGACTGAAGGGGTGAGGTGAGGGTTTGTATGGCCCCCATGTGCTTGTATGCATGCCTGACAACGTTGGGGCATGCTCCTAATGAGACGACAGATGGTGCCCTGGGGTATTTCCTCCCAGATCTGGACCAGGACATTACTGAGCTTCTGGACAGGCTGAAGCGCAACCTGTCAGCGTTGGATGGACCGAAATATCATAGCCCAGTGGTGTGCTATTGGATTTAGGTCAGGCGAGCGTGGGGTCCATTCAGTGGTATCAATTCCTTCATCCTCCGTTCCTGCCTACATACTCTCACCACATGAGGCTGGACATTGTCATGCACAGGAGGAACCGAGGACCCACTGCATCAGCAAAGGGTCTGACAATGAGTCCAATGATTTCATCCCGATGCCTAATAGTAGTCAGGGTGCTATTGTCTAGCCTGCAGAGGTCTGTGCGTCCCTCCATGGATATGCCTCCCCAGACCATCACTGACCCACCATCAAAACGATCATGCTGAACAAGCAGCATAATGTTCTCTGCAGCTTCTCCAGACTCTTTCACGTCTCTGAAATGTGCTCAGGGTGAACCTCCTCTCATCTGTGAAAAGCACAGGGCGCCAGTGGCAGACTTGCCAATTCTGGTGTTCAATGGCAAATGCCAATCGAGCTCTATGGTGCCGGGCAGTGAGCACAGGACCCACAAGAGCATGTCGGCCCTGTGCTCACTGCCCGACACCATAGAAACAGACTACATGTAGTCAGACATGTAGTCTGTTTCTGATTGTTTGGTCAGAGACATTCATGTCAGTGGCCTGTTGGAGGTCATTTTGTAGGGCTCTGGCAGTGCTCATCCTGTTCCTCCTTACACAAAGGAGCAGATATCGGTCCTGCTGATGGGTTAAGTACCTTCTATGGCCTTGTCCAGCTCTCTTTGAGTAACTGCCTGTCTCCTGGAATCTCCTCCATGCTTTTGACTGTGCTGGGAGACACAGCAAACCTTCTGGCAATGGCATGTATTGATGTGCCATCCTGGAGGAGTTGGACTGCCTGTGCAACCTCTGTTGGGTCCAGGTATTGCCTCATGCTACCAGTGGTGACACTAACCCTAGCCAAATGCAAAACTAGTGAAAAACAGTCAGAAAAGATGAGTGAGGAAACAAATGTCAGTGGCCTCTGCCTGTAAAACCATTCCTGTTATGGGGATCGTCTCATTGTTGCCCATCTAGTGCACCTGTTGTTAATTTCATTAACACCAAAGCAGTTGAAACTGATTAACTAGCCCCTCTGCTACCTAACTGACCAGATCAATATCCCAGGAGTTTAACTGACTTGATTCTACACTCTGATTAAAAAGTGTTCCTTTAATTTTTTTGAGCAGTGTACCAAGAGCCAAATGCATTCCATGGGCACCTCTATATATAACAGATAAAGCATATTATGGAAGGCCATACATTCAGCAAAATGTAACCTATATGAGATATATTTTAAGGCACTTCAATGCTTGCATGTACACATTTGATTCTTTCACAGTCTTGCCATACTATAGGAAAAAAAGATTTGTATTTTCGCTATTTGTATAAATAAGTACAAATTTTATTTTTGAAACAAACAAAAAGTCTATGTGCCCACTAGTTTTCCATATATTGAAATATATATATATATATATATATATACTGTATATATATATATATATATATATATATATAATAATAACCTAGCGGACAAAAGACAAATGATAGATAGATGACAAACTTTGCAGGACTGAGTTCATTAATGTGGCTCCTTGTCACCCGTCAGAGGTCATGTCCAGCCGCATGGAAGGGATGATGACCTCATACGCTCCTCTGGCCCCCCCTCAGCAACAGATCGTCTCAATGGATCAGAACAACTACAGCACAGACCCCTTCCAGCAAGGACTCACACCTCCTCAAATGCCAGGTGACCACATGAATCCTTATGGTAAGCTGAGTGCACCCTGAACAGTAACATCTAGTTCCACCTTTCAGAACAGTGTGATAATATATGCCTAGAAAAATTGTGATCATTATATTCAGTATATATGTACACTAAACAACTGCCTGTTAAAATAAAAGGAATTGTTCAGTTTTAGATTTATATGTTCTAATATATTGAGATGATTTTCTAAATCTTTTTAATGTATCCTCTTTTTTTCAAATGGTTGAAAAAAAAAGAGAAAATAATTTTATTCAAAGAAAGTATTTGGTGCCAAGTTGATTGGCACCTGTTGGGTTCATTTAGTAAAGGAGTGGAATGTTTTCGCAGTCTAGTGACACTGTATTAGTTCAATCATTCAAATGAACGGACATTTCCAATTTTTCAAATTTCCATACAGAAGAGTGTGTATTGTACTGGACAGAGGTTCACTGACTTATATGAACTTTCTACTCCTTCAATAAAACAACATCAATGGGTATCTGGTTTAAAATGGAACCAAAGACAATTTAAGCCAAAGGCAATTTTTCATCCTTGGCCTTTTTACAGAAATAGGCAATGATCATGGTTTTGTTGTGGTAAGAAGATCAGTAAACTCTACACAGTTCCTACTTTGTCTTCTGTTTTTCCTTTATTTCCAATAGAACTGAGGAGAAAAGGAACTAACAAACCTAAACTGCACCTAGTCTAAATCGTACATGACCAATTTAAGGGCACTTGGCTCACTACACTTGGAACAGGCTCCTAGGATTGTACAACACAATAATGCTGGCAATGTTTGCCAATGGCTCTGTTCTGATTTGTGTCTAAGGAGTCAAACAGTTAAAAGACTGTAGTGCTATAGTGGAAGGATAAAAAGGTTAGTACATACAGGCAGTAGCAGAGGTATGTTGAGTGTTTATTATACACAAACAGGATGGAGCTAGAAGTGCTGCCACAGAAATAGAGAGTGCTCGAAAGATTCACAAGCTAGCTCTTGACATTCTCAAAATTCTAATTATGGTCTCTGATATTTATGTTCAGCTATTTACCCTTGGTACATGGTATAACTTAATGTGTAGTGAAAATGTCTAAAAGGATTAAAATACATGTTTAGTTCTTGGCATAACATAACCTTAGTTTCCTTGGTAAGCTTGGTTTCTAAATTGCCTATCCTCTCAGCTTAAAAATGCAATATCACTCAATCCACCCCAGACTATCCAATTTACCTTGAATATTTTAGTCAGAGCTAAGGTTTAACATTAACTTACTGAATGGCAATCTCAGAACTTGCTGTTCTTTCCAGTCTGTCAACTGCCTTTTAGTGGCAGTTCATTACAACCAAGCAGATATTTGCTTTTCTTTTCAAATCTGCATTAGGACAATGGCAACTGTAATGTGACTGGTTGTTTTGGTTAACACCTCTTCTTTCCTCTGGGGAGAATTCCAGCATATATAATCTGGTGTTGAATACCTCAAGAGTTAGAGATAGTAGTGCCTTTAATAAATGAAACATAATCCCGTAAAGAAATATATTCTTTAATTTACTAATTTTTTTGCCTTTTTTAAAGAATACTAATTTTTTTATTTATTTTGCACTTCATTGCTACTGACCGTTTATTCTCAGTGCATGAGACTCTGCTATTCAGTTGGAGGAGGATACAGTTGCCCCATCCAGCCTTTCTGGCTGTCAAACTCTATGAGAGCTGCTGGGGCTCAACAATGCATCTAGTGGTATGAACGTTTAGGGCAGTATACCCCCAAAGAGAAATGCCCAGTGTGCATGGGGTCTTAGTCACCTCCTGTCTACATGTACTTGCTCCAGTGACAGCTGCGTATTATTGCGCTGGACAGGCATCCCTTATAGGGACAATGGTGAATTATGCCTGCTCAATGTGTGTCAGCATGGCCACTTGTAGTCTAAAATTAGTGCAGCATGTGGCAGGATGACAACACACAATTAGGAGACACTTGTCACCCCATGATGGAAAGAGTCTAACCAAGGACCATTATGACAGGATTATCAGGTATTATTTAAGAGAAAGCTAACTTTTTTTTTTAAAAAGCTAAATATTTGAAGAGTTACAAAACAACTTTTGTTAAATCAATGTGAAAGCAATATGAAATGTTAGCAACTGAGCTTATATCTACTTTAACACATGCTCATGTTTAAACATGGATTTAAAGTTACTGTGCCAAATTGATATTTTACGATAACCTACATTTATGCCATGTATTCTTAATACAATTTGGATTTCAAAAAATATTTAGAATGCAGACTAAATATTCAGAACAATGGATTACATATGTTTTCCTTATCTTTCTTTAAGGCTTTAAAAATTATATCTATTGACTCGGTTTCCTAAGTCAGCTGATCTAACACAACCATTATGAGACTGCCTTTCTGCCCCATTATCATTTAACAGTCAATCCATTTAATGCTGATAATTCACTTTTGTGTACAGCTAGTTAAACCATCCACTATTTATATCTTCTGAAAGCCCTTGATGCAGGGTTCCCAGGTTTTTCAGAATTTGAATACTTTGTGAGCGTGTAAAAAATCCTGTATGTTGTTTGGTTGAACATGCTTGTTGTAGTTAGCAAGTCTGACCATGCAACAGCAAGTTACACTAGCCACATCATTTTATGTCAATAAGGGAAACTCACTTTGAAATTGTTCAGAGCAGCTTGCAGTCTGCCAAAAGGCCTGCTCCAAAGAAACAACTAAAAAAAATTGTTTTTAACACTACAGGTATGTTGTGTAAACGGGAAGACATAACGGAGTGGGGTTTGTTTAAATTTGACTGCAAAAGTGGAAATACACTTTAAGAGCCTGTGTTGATGGGCTTTTGTTTATGTCAAACACGTTTTTGAATTCCCATAGAAGTCTATAGGAGTTCAAAACCTGCTTGAAGCTAGTTTTCAAGTTGTTCTCAAAAGCCTCTTAAATGGATGCCATTGACACAAGCCCAAAACTTATCAACACAGACCCTTAAGCTGTCACGTTGTACTTAGCCTATCCACTCCCCCTCAGTAATTATGTTTACTAACTCATTTAAATATTTAGAGATCTTTCTGAATGCTGGTTTTAACCAAATAGATTAGTATTCCAGTTTTAAAACCTTCTTTTTTAATACTTCCATTAATTTCTAACTAGCATGTTTGGAAATATTGTTAGATAATTCAGTTTATTATTTGCAATCTTGTGTACAGCTAGTTAAACCATACCTAAACTGGCTAGATTAAAAAATATACAGTAGAATGTTACTTCATACTATATATTTTGTATTGTGACATTTATTTTTTTTTAAACAAAAGTCACATCAACAAAAAATAAGCATGTGCCTTTATGAATATTGGTTAATGTAGAAAACATCTGTTTGCATATTAAAACTTTTTGCCATGAGCTCTACCTTTGTCTCACATTTTTTATAAATGATCTCAGTGAAGACATAACAGAGAATGTTTTATTATATATTGATATTGTGACTGTACTTTTTACAGTACTTTTGCATTCATGTAATATTGATGCCTTTCTTTTACAGGCAATGACACCATCTTCCACGATATTGACAGTGATACCTCGTTAACAAGTCTCAGTGACTGCTTCCTGGCTTCTTCAGAAGTCAACTCCATGCAGGCCCGAGTAGGAAATCCGATTGACCGACTGTATTCCATGCAGAGTTCCTACTTTGCCTCATGAGGGCTACCTTCAATTTCTTCCCTACCAAAAAATAAAAACATGGACCCCTAGAGACTATTTACAGCCATATCTGTGCAGTTGTCCTTCCCAAAGCTGAGCAGGACAGAACGTCAAAGAAGCCACAGCCTAAGTGACTGCACCTTACAGGCCCCTGGAAAATTTTGGAAAAAAAGCATGAGAAAGTACTTCAAAAACTTTTTTCATTTTAAAATACACTCCTTCTTGTAAAAATGGAAAAAAAAACAGTATTTGTATAGAAGTGTGTAAAAAATAGAAATCCCTTTCTCCTAGAATAATGCAAAAATGAAGCCACTGATTTAAGGTTCTCCTTGTCTCCTCTAAAACTGCATGAGTGTCACCGTGATGTGGAATTAACAAATTTGAACTGTGAGAAATTATTGTAAATGTGATGTTTTAAACTATTTTTTTTTTTTTTTCTTTCTATATTTTTGGTTTTCTCCATAGTCAAGAAGGGTAGATCTTAGTCATTATATCATACGAGCAGGCAATGGCTTCTTAAGGTCTTTGCCAATACAGGAAGGACTGCATGTTTTTTTCTGGCAAGAAATCCATTTTTTAAATTAATGGTCTTATGTTCTTTTAAGGTGCTTTAAAGATTTAAAACAGAAAAAAAACATTAATTTAATAAAACATACAACAGTAATAATGTATTTCTATGGGTCAAAATATTGGTTTCTTTTGGAAATTGTAAAATGCTATAGTGCCAAGTTGTTGCATTTACCATCCTATTGCAGGAAGAAATACCAATAGTGCACAGAAGAAGCCTCAACTCTAGGCTGGATTGCTCCTAAGTTATCACACCCTCTGTGTCCATGCTATGGAATCGAACACCTCTTTACATTATCCCTACTCTAGTGATTGCTTCCTCTGTTCCATTGGGTCATCAGAAGTTATAAAAAAGAGTGAATATTTTATAAAAAGCCATTCATTGGGGTTGATTCTCTAAAACTTGAGTGTTCAGAACCTGGTGCAGCTGTGAATGGTAGCCAATCAGCTTCTAACTTCAGCTTGTTCCATTAAGCTTTGACAAAAAAAAATGGAAGCTGATTGATTTTTTTTTATATGCAGAGCTGCACCAGATTTTGCACTCTCCAGGTTTAGTATCAGCCTCAAAATGCCCCACCTTCCATCTTATGCCATGGACCTGGATTAATCATACTGCACATGAGCACTTTTTGGCAGGTAGCAAGGTCCCTGATGAGCTGCCCAACTATATGAAGTGTCATAGGGAACAACAAAATGGCTATGCAATACAGATGTATGGACTGCTGATACACCGAAGGACTGCTATTTATGTGTATCAGTGCACTTTAATATTCTAAAAAGTATTTTTGCCTACAAAACCTCTTTAAAGGTGCACTTGGGATATATGTGTATATATATATATATATATATATATATATATATATATATATATAAAAATGTGTGTATGTAGAGTATGTATGTATATATATATATATATATATATATATATATATATATATATATGTACACATACATACATATATAAATATATTTATATTTACAGTACACACAGTATATGTACAGTATATATATACCTATATATCTGACTTCAATTATTAAATAATTTCCTTAAAGTGGTTGTAAATCACATACATGAAGCCTGAACAAAGCATATCCCTCTCTACTGCTTCTTTCCTCTGCTATTAGCATAAATCCTTTCTGACATGTTTTCCTAACACCAAGAGAAAAAAGGTGACTGGGGAGGGACCTCTAGCAGATTGACAACCTCAGCTCTGCTCCTGTGAGTTATGTGGAGCTCCAATCAGCTCTCAGAGCTCTCCTCACTGAGCTCTGCAGTGTGTAATTTCAGCTCTCCGCCCCCTGATTTCTAAACTTTCAGACAAGTTTTATAAATTCAGTATTCTGAACAGATGAAGAGAAGAGAGGACTGTAGATTAATGAGTACAGATTATGTAGGAGGCTTTGTCTCATCTCTGTGTATGACCTGAGGCCAGCCACTTCATTGTTATGTAAGGGTTTACAACCACTTTATTATTTAACATTTTTAAGAGATATCCTTACCAGATCTCATCACAAAAGAGATGGTCACTGTTCTGTCTGAAATGTCACTTTTTGCAAGAAACCTATGTCCAGAGAACTAGTCTGTGTGGAGAATATGGTAGCTTGATGATTTGACACAATCCACAGGCAGTAAAATCACCAAATACATACAAGTATAGATGCAAATTCAGTATAATCCAACTGCAGGCTTACAAAGTAAGTTTTTGTCCTGAAGCCAAAAATATTTTCAGCATCTATGTGATTAAACTTCCGAAATTGCTGGAGTTAAACTACCTACAAACTAGTTATAGAAGCAAAATTAGACAAGTAGTAGTAAAGCAAGGATTTGCATGGACTAGCTAAAAATGAGGCTGGGTGCACAGTGGAGCAAAGCAGTCACGACATAAATATCATTAGCTATAGACAATACATTGCAATAAAAACACAGAGAAAAAAAAGAAACAAACAATCTATACTTGTGGGGCTTAGAAACAAAGTCTCTGGTGAGTCTGGTAGAATTGACATAGCTTGCACAGTGTTAAGCAATAGTGCAGCTGTCATAGTCTATGATAGGTAGTGGAGCTTTCATAGTCTATAATAGGTAGTAAACCTTGCATAGTCTACCAAAGGTAGGAATAGAATAGTCTTAGTTATTGGCCAAAAGAACATCTTGAGGATTTGGTCCTTGCTTCTAGCTTATAAACTAAAAAACATTCTTATGCGAGGACTGGGGTGGAAAACTCTGATTGCTAACTGGATTAAACATTGGTTGATTGAGTTGTCGGTAGTTTCAACTTGGAACTCAGTAGATGAATCTATAGTGGGGGACCAGTCAATTACTGAAAGTTCTTAGAGTGCCTTTTTAAAGTCTCCTGATTTAAAAAGATGTTGTTTGGTACAGTTTTGTCAAGGCCCAAAGTCAAAGCTGTTGGACCACAGTAAATTAATTATTAGCCTATTTTGTTGTAAACAGGGATCCAGTCTTACTGCTTCTAAAGACTTCTTGTGGGCTATTTATAGAGTGAATACTGCTATTTGCTCTCCATTAGCCAGTTACTCAATGTCATTGCCTTCATGAGTCACTTATAAAAATGATGGTGGTATATTATGGAGAAGTCCACATTCTTAGTGAATTCTTGAAACATTTGAAGAAGGTGCAGTTTTGCTGGTGGCAGTGTGGAATGCTATCTGGTCAACACCATCATGATTAGGGGTGAGTGTAAAATTTTACTAAACCTAGATTTGCCACGAAATTAACAGGTTTGCATTTAGTGAATTCATCCTTGAATTTTGATTTTCAGCACTTTAACCCCTTCCCGCCGTCGCCTCCCGGCCCTTTAAGAGTTTCATAAGCCGGGAGGCGGGACGGGGTTTAGGGATCATGTGACCACCGTGACACGTCATCACGGCGGTCACATGATCGAGAAAGGTCCCGATCGAAAGAGCAGACCGGGACCTTTCCGCGAGTAAGAGACATGTATGCTGGGAGTGCGCAGGGTGCACGCTCTCAGCACATATTTTTTGTTAATTGCACGCAAATGTGTGGTCGCTCAGCGTCTAGGCCCAGACGCTGGGAGGCCTCACATTTGTGTGCGGCCGACGTGAAGAGGTTAAGGTGAAATAGTAAAAGGAAAGCCATAAGTAATTTAAAACTTCCTGCAGCAAACTGGACCCTTAAAGCTTCACATGCTCTACTGGAAGCCTATAACTGGCCATAGATGGATTGTATTTTTCATTCAGCCAGCAGGTCAAACAAAAAAAATTAACTGATTCTTCCATCTACACAATCCAAGTGGATAGAGGAATCCTCCCAGCTGAGACATTGTATTCTGACAGCAGAGACTCCCCCCTGCAGCTGCTGATCGAAAAAAATTCCAATAAGCCTGTTTGACAAGTCGATTATTAAAAATACATCCATCAATATAGGGTCTATGGTATTCTACAGAGTTCTCACTGCTCAACACAGCACATTTGGATGGAAGAGAGGCAGTCACATGACTTTCATAAGTCACGCAACCTGGCTCTCCTTCTGGTCCCTCATTGGCATCAGAGTCCTGAAGTCAGCAAAATGCAATGCACATTTTTAAATACTTTATCAATGCAGCCCTGATTGTGAATGACAACACAGTGAGTCACTGATAAAGAAGTTGATTCATAAAAATAATTGTTTTTTCAATGAACTACACTACTCAAAAAAATTAAGGGAACACTTTGAAAATACATCAGATCTCAATGGAGAAAAATATAGTGCTGGATATCTATACTGATATGGACTGGGGAATGTAAGGAGGCCCCATAATTTGATGGAAATTTAAAATTATCAACCCACAGAGGACTGAATTCAAAAGACACCCTGAAAATCAAAGTGAAAAAATGATGCAGCAGGCTAGTCCATTTTGCTGAAATTGCTGCAACTCAAAAATGGTACTCAGTAGTTTGTATGGCCCCCATGTGCTTGTATGCATGCCTGACAACATCGGGACATTCTCCTAATGAGATGATGGATGGTGTCCTGGGGTATTTCCTCCCAGATCTGACCAGGGCATCACTGAGCTCCTGGGCAGTTTGAGGTGCAACCTGGCAGCATTGGATGGACCAAAACATGATATCCCAGAGGTGTTCTATTGGATTTAGGTTAGGTGAGCGTGGGGGCCATTCAATAGTATCAATTCCTTCATCCTCCAGGAACTGCCTGTATACTCACATGAGGCCGGGCATTGTCATGCACTAGGACCCACTGCACCAGCGTAGGGTCTGACAATGGGTCCAAGGATTTCATCCCGATACCTAATGGCAGTCAAGGTGCCATTGTCTAGCCTGTAGAGGTCTGTGCATCCCTCCATGGATATGACTCCCCAGACCATTACTGACCTAACACACCAAAAGGGTCATGCTGAACAATGTTACAGGCAACATAACATTCTCCAGGCTTCTCCAGACCTTTTCACGTCTCT